TTTATCAAAACCGAGCGCTCCCCAAAGGAAAAATGTCAACCAGATAATATTTATACTCAAACAAACACATTCTGTGCTTTAGGTCTCCCTGCCATTGAGTTAAAATTACAAATACCCGAATTTGAAAGCAGCTAGCTGCATTAGCTGAGCTGCTGTTTGACAGCTCCGTACCTCCATCAGGTATGTCGCTGACAGAGCCAATGCTGTTCTCGGTAAAAGGAGGAGTTGTTCGCGGCTGTCTCAGCGGCTCTCTTTGGTTGAAGAGCGGGGTCTTGCTGTCAGCGTCCCCAGCGCCTGTCATGAGTCCGGGGTCTGCTGGAAAATTACGGGATCTCCCTGCTCCGGGAGCTCGGTCGAAATTCTCGTTCATGACTGCTCGGTGTCAGCCTCGGCTCTTAATACAGCATCTGATATAAACGAAGATGTTCCGTTCGCCCTTCCAGCTGCCGTTTTCCTTGCGTAGCGGCAAGTGCTTGTGTTTGTTTGACTGTAAAACGCGTCCTATCTCTCTTTCATGGTGGCCTTTTCTCTATCGGATAGTATCAGTGTGTAATGCTACATAACTTTTTCGGCCACTTCCTTTAACAACAAACTTGCTGTCACTGATTATCCAGAATAAAAAAATCTGCCTCCATCTAGTGGCACGGAGTGGAAGTGAGCGCTGCAATAAATACCGTCTTGCACGGGATCGTTTAACGCTTAAACACAACAATGTATTTTTTTTTAATGGATTACTGCACAAAGGCCTTGAAACATATTTAATATTTATGAAACATCTGCAAATTTAAATGAAAATCCATTATATAATGAGAAAAACTAAATTTGCACAACACAAGCTTAGAATATATATTTATTTATTATTTCAATATTTAGCACCACCAGCTGTATTCTTCACACTACACGAACGCTCTTAAGCAAGACTTCTTTAAGTGTTCTTTAGGAATATTTCTCCAGACTTCATGATGGCTTTTCAAAGCTAGAAGCATTTGGGGGTCATCGTCATCCTAAAAATGGAGCCGCTGCCAATCAGATGCTTTGCAGTTGATATTATGTTCCTCTTTACATATTGATGACAATTTAAAGGAAAATTTCAACTTTTGGATTTATTACTCCATCAGATCTGTTGGACATGCCTGAACCTTCTCTCCCAGTTTCACCTTCTTAAGAATGTGCTCCAGAAAGCACAGAGACCATTGCTGATGAGGCTTCGATGAGCAGTATTTGGATCAACTGAAGGGCCAGATGGATCACTTTGTTCCTGTGTCAGGTCTTTGCTGGATTTTTTCTTGTTTCTTAATTACCTGATTTTCAGATGCTTTTCATCTGCTGTAGAATTAGCATATATGTTATTTATCCCTTCTTTCATCCTCCACTTGTCAAGTTTTGTTACATTTTGTAAGGATTATTAATATTAATGTTAGCATTAGTAGCAGTAGTAATAGAGTTACAACGACAAACTCATTCAAATGCAGATATTTATATAAAATTTTAAATATGATAATCTCCTTGTAAGGAAGACTCCCCCCTTCCTACAATTATTTGTATTAAGTTGTACAGCACTTTAGGACTACCTTTCACTTTATTAAAAACACCTTAACTTGCACTTTATTTAGCGTCACATTTTAAGCACATCAATAACATTTGCATACAAGAAGTTTAATTATTTATTGAATATTTATTGAGTATTTTAATAATTAGCCAGTAGACTTTGTTCCAGGTCCTGCACAGATGCTCCTCATCAAGAAATGTGGCGGTTGTCTGTGAGGAGAAAAGAATTGTTACTGGGAGCAAAAGGTAAGGAGAACTAACGCAAATGTGTGCAAGGTCTAGAGGTAAAGGCGGTACAAAGAAGTGAGTTACAGAGATGTGATAACTCACCTTCCCTTCCTGTGTCCTCTCCGAGATGTTTGGGCAAATGTTTCCCCAGGTGTCCAGATACCAGATAAAGGTACCAGGAGAGCCCATTGATGAAGGGAGTGTGGGGAATCTTTGTGCTTGGGGTTGTTGGTGTTTCTATAATAATGGTAAGGTTTAAGGGTAAAATGTAAAATATTTATTCATTTACATATTCAATACATATTCAAAATGTATGTCTATATGTATTTATTGAAATTGATGTATTGTATAATGTGGTGGAAGGTTGGGATTTGAGAACTCACCTGTTAATGGAATAATGGTTTAGCCTGTGACAGCTGAGAGTATTTAAGGCTGCCAGCTGCCATTAGACAGGGTGATTGTTTTGTGAGAAGGCTTAACATATGAGTGATTGTCATGTCCTGAGAGCTATATGGTGGAAAAAATACCTCTTGGTCTGCCTCACTGTAAATCCAGCTGTGAAAGGCCGCCCTGTTACACTCCTCATGTATGATGGATTGAAAAATCTGACAAAACTTACAAAGAGCTGCATATCGTTTTAGTTAGACTACAGTTTTTTTATTATTATATTATTATTTCAAATGACAAAAATGTTTTTTCATGCTTTGTTTTAGTTTTCAGTTTAATTCTAGTTAACAGTGAAAATGCTAGTAGAGGGAGTAATCATATTATTTGCTTATATTTGTAATAAAATGAACACAATATACTACCAGTATATTAATGTGACCATGGCAAAAATGTTAACAAATTATAGGAGAAATCTTCGCATTCATAAGCGATTATGCTTTTGAATGTCGAGGTGCACACTGTCCAATTTGTTGTACGAAAATTGGACACGTTTTCTTTTTATACTAAAAGAAGGATTGTGTGAAATATGAATATCTTTTAACTTTTTTCCATCAGATTTGATATGTACTGAAAAAAAATCCACATCAGGCTTCAAGTTCCACGACAAATTCTTTTTCTGATAATTACCAGGAATTCAGGTGATGATGTTTGAAATTTTGTAGACATTAATTAATTATCTATAATTAGTTGCAGTTTTGTTTTTGGCGTCAGTTGCATTTAGAGAAAAAATGTTTCCAAAACTTTGTATGAAAATGTTCATTGCACATAAACTCATGCTTGGTTTGTTTGTTTGTTTGTTTGTTTGTTTTTTTATTAAGAGACTATCTCCAAATAAATACTAAGGTCACAACGTGGTTGTCTGCACACAATGAGCGCGTGCTGAAGGGCCTCATGTTGATCTAAAATGATAGAAAATTATTTCTCCATCCCAGAGGAAAGAGGAAAGGCTGTGAACCTGAACAACCCCCTCAGAAGTGCCTCTCCCAAGCTCACTCAGTAGCTGCGCGCTGCAAACATGTGTTCTACCAGACATCTCGGTGTAAGTATTCATTAGTTGTTTTAGCCTCCAGTCATTTTCCACTTGTTTCTCAAAGCTGGATCACATTATTCCACAGAGAATTCCAGTGCCAGAAATGCAGAGACCTGCTTTGATAGAAGATTACTGTGCCTATTTTGTGTTATTGCCGTTTTTTTCCCTCGCCGTGCCAGTGTTTTGGAGAGAGTTCAAACATTCACAAGGGAATGCAGAAGATGACAAATGAATTGGATTTCTGTGTGTTTGTGTGTGGGTAAGTCAGTGGGGGTTGGGGTCAGCAGTACACATTATGTAGGTCAAATCCTCTGTTATTTATTTGACTGCATCTTTATCTCGTCATGCACAGCAATTAAGGACTAATCAAGAAAGAAAATGCTACTGTATGTGGTGTAATTAAACTCCTAGTGCATATCCATGCTTTAGTTCTTATAAAGAAATATGGTTTAAGTCAATTCAGAATCACCTTTAAAACATTTGAAGTCTTTGGATGAAGTTGGGGATCAAGACATGTATGTATGTATGTATGTATGTATTTGTTCAAAAGTTGCACCCTAATTTCACCTTCTTAATCTTTATTTTTAGGTAACATTTATAGTTTATCTTCAAGACACTATTGTGAGTCTGGCTTCAGAGGTTCAATAGTCACACCATATTGCTCAATTAACCTGTGAGAGCACACAGGGCCGTGCAGGGTGCAGAGATGTGCTCGGTTGGTCTTTACTGGTGGAATGCACCGCAGCATTCCTCAGTATAAATCACTCAGCGCAGTAACAGCCATTAAAGGACAATATACTAAGGCTATAGATCAGACCGCCTTTGTTGTTTTCACTCCTTCCGGTCTCTTTTCACACACCAAGCTGAATGAATTTAGGACTGAAGACAAAGGAAAACTTCTGAAGCCTTTCTCTCAGCTGTCTTCCTATAATCTTCCAATTTCTGATGCCCATCCAGAGATAGTTGTTTTAAAAGGCAGGATAAGAGAACACAAAGTCCGGAAGCCTGTGGTGTTAATGTTCTTCCTATGTTCTTTTGATCCGGGATTGAGGCAGCTGCCATTGATTAGTGTGTTTATGATTAGTGTGTAGATGATTACTGAAGGAAGTGGGTGGTCAGGCACAGGTCATATTTTTTCTTTTATGCACTTCTTTTGTATTTCTTTTCTTACATGCATACATTCAGATCCTCTTCCAAGGCCCATACAAACCCATGGGCAGCAATTTTTATATTCATAACCAGCTATCTTTACCAAGCAAGTCTTTTTGCAGTTGGAGAAGGTTGCAGCTTCCACAGTAATGGTCTGATATTAGAAAATGATGTCAACATCTACAGTCCATACCAGGGGAGTTTCCCCCCTCCCATTTTGTTGTGGTTGGTCTTGTGTTTTCAGTTTGTTTGTGCACTAATCATTAGTGCAATGGTTGCCACATGGTATATCTGGCTAGGAATTAATGGTTGCCTTTTGTCCCTTCTTTCCTACCTCAGAGACCCAGATAAGGATACCATGACTTGAACGTTTACCAGGGTCTCTCAGCACTTCTGGTAAACCTTACCATTTTTAATGCACTTCTCCCAGTCTTTGGAGTACCACAGAGGAACGTTCACTGCATTGCAGGGGAGAAATGGTACTTTTATTTTTCACATAATAGAGTTCTTATAAAACAAAAATAATTCAAAGAAATGCTTGTGTTCCCCTTCAGTTAAATATTTCACAAAATAAATAAATCATTACAATTCAGGCAAAAAACACAGTGGTTAAGTATCGAACATTTGCTTTAAATGTGTTCTATCCTTTATTACTTCCTGCTGCCGTGATAAACGGACTCACTGATTGTTTCCCACATCCTGAACATTTTCTGTTCTGTTTATGTGTCTCACAGGAGAATATGGATATAAATAACATCTTGAGATAATTCTGCATCTACTACAGTTTATTTAGTGAAACAGTAGCTTCGGTTGTGTCCACATCACACACTTAGTCCAGCTGCAAACTGTTTGGCACAGACAAAAAAAAAAAAGAAAAGAAAAAAAGAATAAGCATTGCATCTGTGCCAGTGAAAACACAGGTAACACCATTTCCCAGTAAAGAAGAGACTACTTGTATGCATGACAGTGTTAGGCCCTTTTTTTAAATCAAATGAGAGATTTCTCACTTTTCAGACTTATAAACCTCCCATTTTCAGAGTTTCATATTGTCCCTCTCCAGCCGAGCGCACAGGTTCACACAACGGTTGGAAGAAAATGTGTGGCTGTGTTCTTCCTTCGGGTTTTCCTTCCTCTCATCGGCTTCCCCTGGCCGTTCAGACCCACAAACATCTGCCGCTTCCCATGCTTCCACTTGGCTGATGCGTACGTGTTGTAGCCGTTCTCCTCAATCCGTTCCTTCAGGGTGCAGTCGACACCAAACTCTCTCTGTAAAAAAGCAGGTATCATGTTGCCGTGTTATAAACTTAGCGTGTGAGGTTAAGACAAAACGCACATCATTATCTTGTGCAAAATGCATTGTTGTCTGAGTGTCTATTTACTACTTCTGAATCTACGATGCATGCTTTTCTGTGTGGGTGATTTGTGCGCGTTTTTAAAGCTGCATAGTTTTCTCAGTGGTTCACATGTGTGCACTGGTCTGGTTGTGATTCAGAGTTGACCCAGCAGTTGTAGAACTATAGATAAGGCTTCCTTTGATAAGGACTGAAGAATCTAACACTAGCTTTCTCTCTCTGGAGCTTCCAGATTGACCTCTGACTCGGATACTAACCGCTCCGTACAGCTCTCCTTTCTTGCTGATAGCCAGATAGTAGTTGCTGCTTAGCCCTTTGATGGCCACCACTCCCACGTCCACTGATGTGATTTCCAGAATACCTAGGGATCAGCAAAAAGAAGGTGACATTAATATGTGTCAACATTAATAGTAGGCATGCTATTATGTCATGAACAACTGAATAAATGCTGTGGAGCAGAGTATAGAAGAATTAACACTCTGGCAGCAGTCACAAACCACCCACATGAAGTGCAGATATAAACCTGGAGGAATCCACAGGTTTTTCAGTAATAGTATAATGAGTACCAGCATTTGTATTTTGTGACATTTACATGGGGGAATGTGTGGGATTTCTGTGCAAGGTTACAATTATTCTTGGGCACATTTCTCATTTCTGATATTTTAAAGTTCCTTTACAGCCTACACCTGTATAAAAGATTCCAGCTGCTCGGGTCATTTAGTCTGAAGATTAATAGGTGGATTCCCCCCGGAGATTTCTCGGGTTGTTTATGTTGAGTTTGGTATTTAGCTTTCCAGGTCCCTGTGCAAATACGTCAGGTTTATTGTAAACTATTAGGGGAGGTTAATTTATACCTCAGCTAAAATGGATGTGTTTTTGCTGTAGACAGCTGTTGTTATTTGTGTGGTCTCAGTATCAAAGGTCGGAGAGCTATAACTTCCTAATGTGTCCTTTGACCACAGAACCCACTTGTCTCATCTCTTGCCGGTGTGTGTGTGTGTGTGTGTGTGTGTTAGTGAACCCCACTGTTTCCCATGGGATGTTTGATTTCATGCCGCCCTCCCTACCTTCCTTTTCCCACTTCCTGTGAGCTGTTGTCATTTTACCCCAATTAACACCCATATGTCTATGTGCACACACACACACACAGAGTGGGGGCGTGAACTCCAGAAAGTCAACGACATCCTTTGATCAGACCAGGGGCCCCTCCTCTGTCTGATGACTGTTTGTGTGGCACCCTGCCCTACTGTCAGACTCACTCCAAAGTGGCTGGAGGGAGGGGGGGGAGGGAGGATTGGAGGCTGCCAGCCTTGGACCTGAGTGGACAGCGGAGGATGCAGGTGTGCCCAAAAGAACAATCCCTCTGTTAAATATACAGCAGCTTCTCTCCTCGTCCGTGAGGTCTTGACTGTATCAATTTCTAGTTCAAACAGCGGCACCTCAGGGCAGTGAGGTCTGAAGCTGCAAGGCGGTGTTGGGGACTGTGACACAACGGTCATTGAAGATCTGAGAAGAGCTGGTTTCTGTATGGGATCGGATGTCGGGTATGGAGTGAGGATGTAAGACAATCTATGGCAGTCTCTGGCTGCTCTGTAAACATGGGAGTGATGAAAGGAAGGAGAACAGAGGAGGACAGAGGAGCCATGACAGTGAGACTGGGGGTGGAGTGAGGATTAGAAAGGCTGTAATGATCACTGATCAAAGTAAGCCACCGGAGGCAGGGGCGAGACAGGTTGTATATACACACATGCACTAATGCACTCTCTCACTCCCTTACTCACTCACACACACGGAAACGCACACACATACACACACATATGCACAGTTGTTTTGAAGCAGGTGAATGTGCACTTGCATATAACACACTAACTCAGGTTGGCTGTGAAACTACTACAAAATCTCCCTACACTGCTCTGTGCTGAAAGGCTAAATGCTTATGTAGACCCACAATGGGGAAGTAATAAGGTCATGGCTGCCAATGTGGGAAAATGTGCTCATCGTTTAGCTTTATTTATGCTGTTAATGGGATGGTATTGCTTCGTATGGGGTTTATTTTACAAACCCCTTTTAAAATGTAGCCTAAAGTAAGACAGCCAGGTTCAGCAGTTTTTCTCTTGCAAGCTTTTTGCGCCTAATGTGTGGCTTATTCGATACGCTCTGGTGGGAGTTACAGCAGTAAATGGTGCGTTGTTTGTGGAATGGAGGTAGATGTTGCCAGTAAGAATTAGCAGTGGTTTTTCCACAGCGGGGAGCCAAAAAAAATATGTGCTTTGCAGCTTAGCATTGTTATTCTTTCTCACTCTTAAACTTCTTTTTTTCAAAATAGATGTTCTGGTTTTGAATAAAGCAGTATTTGGGCAGATAAGTCAGGATTAAAATGTTGATTGTTATCATTTCCATGCAGAAAAATAGAACAGAGTGAGGCGTAAATCAGGAAATATAGTAATAACACTTGATAAGGACCACACAGTGTATTTACATGGAAAGGAACATTTTTACTACCTTTGAGAAAAGCTATTGGCTACATCTCCGTCCTCAGACCTCCATAAGAGCACCATCTGGGGTTTTTTTTTCAAGTAAAAGGTTGCTGCTATATTTAAAGAAATTATTTATACAATATTCACAGGATATGCCAAGAACTGTCTTGTGCACATGGCCTGGTTCCTTTAGCCTTCCTCTTTCTTGAGACACACACACACACATAGACACACACACTGGCCCAATACAAGTATACATACAGTCTTTACATGCTCAACCTTTCACACCATCACAGCCATGGATAGTTAGCCAGACTTTATTTATTACCACAAAGCCTTTCCCTGAGTCTTGTTTAGCGATGTTTTACTCCGAGCTGCTAGATGTCTTTAAATTTTAAGACAACTCTGCTGTGCTTAGGCCACGCAGCTAGCTACTTAGCTGACTTTAACACAATCTGCCTTCCTTTTCTCCTTGCTTCTCTGTAACCTCAGCAAAGGCTCACAGTGGGTTGGAAAGCCATGTGGGACAGTTTTGCACTGGCATCCCCATAAATCTGTAGGAGGCATGCTGCTCCTTGCAGGGCCACAGGGAGCCGCCCCAAAACAGCTTGTAGATAAATTAATTTAGATTAATTAATTAAAGTTTGACGAATTTAAATGTAGTGTGTCTTTGCATTTCAATTTCTGATTTCAAAAAACTTTTTTCCAGTACTTGGAAAGAAAATGTGATATTTTGTCACTTCAAGGGATCATCAAGGGTCTACAAAGGACGTCAGTCCAGGGATCATGTCTAGCCTCAGGGGCTAGAGCGAAGACTGAAGCTGCTGTTGTGTAGTATTCTTTACCATGTGAACCTGATATGTGGGCACATAATCCATACAGTGTCCTCAGACCCCCTTAGGACACAGCTTTGTGATGGCACCACCATTGATATACTGAAGATGAACGGCTTTGATGTGGCCACAATAATATTCAGGCATGTCATTCATGACTTTGTACCTCTAGAGAATCTCACTTTCACCTCCCTGCCTGAACCTCAATTCATTGCTAATTCAGACTTACCTTTGAAAAAAGCAATGCAATGGGGAGGAAAAAGTGGATTTGTGGGTCAGTAAAAAGGAAGACAAAGGGATAAATTATCTCAGAAAGATACATAAACTTTAGAGTGACTTTACACCAGACTTCCTTGCACCACTTCAGTTTTACTACTTAAAGGAAACTGCTAACAAAAGCAACAGTAAAGGCATCACGGTGTAATATGGTCAGGAAATAAAGCTGCTTTTGTCATGACCTTGTCAAAACAAACATCTCCCCTGACATTTTGCCTCCTGTGCCATTTCCCCCAAAGTCACTTTGATTGAAAGTGCGGTTTAGCTCTCCCAAGAGGAACATTAAAACTTTGGGATACACTTACTATGGAATTGGGAAACAGAGAGAAAAAAAGGTATATAACAACAACTAAGTGGGATGTGTGTGTGTGTGTGTGTTTGAGCACATGTGCTGCTGTTGGGTACCATAAGATCACACCCACCGGAGCATGTGATTGCCTGCTGGTTGATAGGCACACACACGTTGCTCAGTGGGAATGCTGGGAGACTAATGAGAATGCTATTTTACTGACTGATACACTGAAACATACAACATGTAATCACTTTAAAGACATGTTTCTCTGAGCGAGGACGTCAAGCTGCTTTAAACAAATGTCTGATCTGTGACTGAGGGTGTGTAATTTGCTTGATGCTGGCGGGCAGAAGGCAATCTGAGTGGGAGAGTCATAGCGAAACAGCCAAAGAGAAGCAAAAAGGGTCTAAAAGCATCAATGAGCTGGACATTCATATCCTCCCCCTGCCACAGCCCTGTTCTTTCTATGGATGTTATCAGTGCTGTTTACCCTGGGCTGTGAAGACTGCCTGATAATGGCTGGGTTATCTGCTCCTGCTCCTTTTTAGACCATCTGAGAGCTACCATCATTGTGCTGAGTGTTTAGACAGGAGAGATATCAGTGGGATGTCTGGTTTAAAACAAAAAAGACAACTCAAATTAGGATTGCTTCCTCCAAACTACCAGTGAATGAACTGCCAACCGGTTTATTCGCGTAACATGAAAGGATCACGTTTTTCCTTTAAACTCACCATTTACAGTTAGCAGCACAAGTTATATTTCTATAGGTACAATCTACATATTTAATTTGGTGTTACATAGGACATAGATACAGATAGACAGAAAGATGTAAATGTATTTTTTAAATAAACTGTCAGGATCTAAGTTCTCATTTAATATGGTTTCTTGTTACAAGAAATGTCCTGCTTAAAGACTTAATCAGGTGCTTTTGTCACATTTATATACTAATACAAAACAAAGGCAAAGGTTTGGGCTATAGAGCTTAAAAGCTTTGATATCACACTCACAAGTTAAAAGGTAAAATTAAATCAAATATTTCAGGCTAAATGAGCCTTGGATAGGGTCACACAGATCACTTCTTGGCTCTGATTCACTCTTCTTTACCTACTTTTGTTAATTGAAAGGGTTACTTACTGAAGGGGTCGTCCTTGATTTTGGTTCCATTGACTTTTCCATTCTTATCGATCCTCAGGAAAAACCTCTGGAAAGAGAACAGCTTTCTCCTTCGTATGTCCCCTAGTAGATGATTGTAACTGCGCACATGCCTCCCCTGTGCTCCCCCAGTCCGACCCACAGGGCCCCCATTGGCTCTGGCTCTAGAGATCAGCTCAGCTTCAGAAATGTTCACTGGAGCTCTTAGAGTCCGTGGGCTGGAGACCCTATCTGTGTCACGGTGGAACTGATGGCAGGCAGCCTCACGCAGGGATAATAAAAAAACCAACAGGGTGACTAGTACAGGAAAAGCTGGGGTGATAAGCAGTGCTGATGACCGTATTCTGAAGGTGGCCCCAGAGCCTGAACGAGCCCCTAACCCAGCCCTGGAGCAGGACGAGGCAGAGGCAGCCTTACTCCCTCCAGCAGTCCATCTGATCATGGTAGTGTGCTGTGAGGAGGACTAGAGGCAGCCTCGGAGCTTGGGACATGCTGCTGGGGGTGAAGATTGCCTGAGAAGGCAGGGAGGGAAGCCCTCCACAGACCAGAGTGAAGGTGTCCCTGCACAGTGTCCAAACTATTCAGCGCAGGTATAAAAATGTCAAGATATCCTTCTGGGTGATTTTTGATTATGTAATTTCAGTAAGTCTCTATTTTCCAAGCTGGTACTCCACTCCGTTCTCTTCTCCACTGCTGCAAGGTTGTAGGCTGGTTATCAAAAATTCCAAGTCTGTTTTGGAAAACATCTCAGTCTAAATGAACAAAGATTAAATAAAAAAAGAAAAGGAAGTGAAAAAAGCAGGCAGACTATTTGACTAATTCTTCTTAAATTGTTTGTGAACTTTTAACTCTTGCTCAAAGGGGCTCCAGTGTAAGCCTTTTAGTCCCAGACTGCTTTTCAACTTAACAAGAAAAAAAAGATAAGAAAAAACTTATAAAAACAAATATCCAGTTGAGAAAATGTAATAGTATCCATGTAGAAAGGTATCTAAAATCTGGTAAAAGTCTTTAGTTCCACTGAAATTAAAAAAATAAAATAAAATGGTGCCACCACACCATTTACCTGTTCCAAGCTGCTAAACTCCACATGTGCAGGAAAACATTTCCAGATTTTACTCTGAGGACGAAAAACAGGATTCAAGACTTAAATAGGAAGGTTGGCCAGTCCAGGCGAATATCTGTCCTCTTTGGGTGCCC